TAAAATGTCACATCACCCTGTAACACACTATACACCCGTGTTCTGGAAACCTCTTGGGTTTAAGACACTTTCCACCCAAATGGCAAGGCAAAGCAGAAGGATCTGTTAAGAGAGTACACACAGAGGTCGTGGAGAACGTGGCCCATGATGGGCAAAGCACGACACAGCATGGGAGGATTTCCTGCTGCAGGCCAGGATGTGCAGAGGCACACACAGCGTGTGTATTACTACAAACTCAGTATAAACTCTGGGCTTCAATTTTGGCTGGTAGGAGAGGAAATGGCCCAGGCTGGTACTGCATTCAGAGACCCTCTCCCAGCTGGGACAGGGCTGTCATGGCTCCAGGGCTAGAGCCTGGGTCTCTCTGCCTTCCCCATCCCAGCACCACGCTCATCCTCACCTTTATTTCACACTGGAGCTTCATCCTCTTTTCCTAGCAGTGTCCCATTTGTCACTTTTTCACACAGACACCAAGTAACCTCCCTGCCCCCCTGGACAATTAAAGATGTGCATCTCTCTCTCTTTTCTTTATTGCTCAGTGGAAATATGGACCATTCTTAATTTCACTTGTTTGGGCTTTCTCCATGTCATGAGTGACCTCTATACAGACCTGCCTTTGCAACTCTTTTCAAGGTTTTATTCCATCCTCCAGCCTGAACTCATTCCCAGACTTTCACTGACCTACAGTGGCACCGAGTGGAAAAGTGAAATAAAGCCCTGTGTCTCCTCTTGCAGGACACAGAATTACTGAGAAATTATCTGGAGTGTCTACAAGGCAGAGTGATGAGGAGGAAAACCTTATCTTTGTACTGCTCTGGGTCTCTGCAGCATATAGATCATTTGTCAGTGCCAGTTTGAGGTAGGCTCTCCAAACAGCCTGTTTTGCATTTGAAGCACTCACAGGACATGATGGTTCGGCTAAAAAACCATGCATTTTACATGAAATCACCAGGATAATTTGGCTGTATATCGTGTTCCCACAACTTAATATTCTACCTACAGATGCGTGATCAAGAAGAGGTTCCTTAACTTTGACAGGGCACATCACATTATACTCACTTTATTATTGGAAATGATCACCCCAGGGTGCGAAAGGGAGCAAAGACATAGTTTCATCATACCTTTTTTTTTTTTTAATAAACCACATTTACTGCAGTGTGGGGTATTCCAAAGCTACAGAGCGCCACTTGCCAGTGGACAAGTGGCTATATTTTACCTGGATTGTGCAAGAAAGAAGTAACTGCTTAATTTAATGCTGAGCTGTGTAAAATTCACGCTGGAAATTCAACTTTTAGGCACACAGTTCATATTCTCCAGTAAAAAGTAATTTCAGGTAGTGAAATTAAATATTTTAAATTATGTACTCATAGATGTAACCAAAAACTTTCCTCACTATGGCCACACATCCTCCCTTGTACTCAGGACAGCACTGGACAGGATCCAGTACTGGACCCCGATCTTAACTTTAACAGTTTTGATGCTTGCTAGAACCAAGAATGAGATTTTTCCTCTGCTTTGATGGTTATTACAACCAACTAAAGTTTCCTATTCTCCAACTCCTCAAAGACTTGACTGCAGACCCAGCTGAGCAGACCAGAAAAATATACTCTTGAATCTCAACAAGCACTTGACACAGTACATTTATCTGGAAACTGATACCACATCTATTTTGGCATTATGATTTTTATTTTTAATCCTCCATTTAAATACCCTATTTCACAACCAGGAAGGAAAATGAACATGGGATGGCCCATAGATATTTAGTAGCTATAAAATAAAACCTATAAAAATGAAAGTGAAATGAATTATCAAACCATAAACTAAAGTTCGGTGTTTAAAATCGGCCAGGGCTTTAAAAATTCAATTACAGCTTTAACAGAAACAAGTTTACTCAATATTTTAATAACCTTCTCTCATAATGTTTTTTTCTTCCTTTGCAAAACCTGGCATTACTGAGGATGTATGGCAAGGTTGCCTTTCCTCTAACTACTTTAAGATTGATTAGGAAACAGAAATATTGATGCATTTATCCAAAATAACTTAATTAAATGAAGCAAAAAATAGCGCACAGGAACATGTCTCAGTAGAAAACTGGAGCTGATCAAGATCATGAAAGGTTACATTTAATATTCCTGGACTGAAAAACATCAGGACCATTAATTGAATATCAGTAATGGAGAGTACAAAGACTAAGAAAGTTATTTAATGTTTTCCTAAGTGACTGGTGGGTTATTTCATGTTCAGTAACTTCTGTAGGTTTACAAGCTACCAGCACTTGGGGGTCCTGCAGGGCATCTCAGGACAGCAGGTGAAGAGAGCATCCCAGAGCACAAATCTGCATTACCTTGGTTAATGCTCAAACACAAAGGTATAAAACCCAATGGAAAGTCAGGCCTGTGTTTGGCTGGTGTTGACAAACTGGAATTTGTCAAGGTTTGGGGGATACATTCAGCTGTCTTCAAGCACCACTGGCTGCTCACATTCCTGGAGGCTCAGCCCAGGCTCAGTCCTGGCTGCTGCTGGCTTCAAAGGGAATTTAAGTGACAAAAGCCCTGAAGGACAAGACTGCAGGGGCTGTTATCTCAAGCCACAGCAGTTTTCAGGTCTGTGGCTTTACAAGGGCTTTCTCCTCATCTGTTTTACTTTCTTCGGGAAAGGCATTAGGATTTTGTTAAAACCTCTAGAAAAACAGCAAGGATGTGCCAGATGAACTAGGGAACTTTCACTCTAGTTTAGTTTGGAAACCACCCATGTCTTAATTTTAAACAGTGGCTTCTGAAATGCAGAGTAGCACCAGATCCAAGCTACAATCAGAGAGGTTCAGACTGCTCTGTGTGGAGCCCAGGTGATTTTATTAGGATCCACCAGGAGCTCCAAAGCCTGGCAAATCCAGCTGAAGAGCCAGCACCACTGATAAACTTAAAACACTGCAGATGCAACAACATGGAAAAATAGGTGTTTCTGGGAGAATGAGGAACTGCAATTGAAAATACATAATTCTTAAAGCTGCATCCAAGGAGAATGGAACAAAGATCTTAAAATACTACCCCTAGAGCTTCCCCCCACCTTGTTGCAATTGTTTCTGAAGTACTCTGCTAAAATAGGTTTTCAAACCATGCAAGACTAATCATTGCAATTTGGAGAGGTAAGTAGGCATTTAGCATGCAGGTCACAATTAGCTAAAGATGGTAGAAGAATCTCAGTCAGGCTGGCACAGGAGATTTTAAAAAAAGAAAGAAAACATTTTTTTGCTAGCAAGAATGACATGTGATGGGAGAATAGAGGAAGATAATTGTCATAACAAAGGGAATATGTTATTATTTATTGGCCACACTTAAGCACTGGAATCCTGGATTATAGTATCTGGTGACAAATGTTGCTTGAAATTTTGTAAATATCACTTAAAAACTATGATAAATGAGTAATTCTGCATGTACTCCACAACCAACCCTTTCAAAATTCAGTTCTGGGAAGCAGAGTGACTTTTTTTGTCCTATATGAAAAGATTAAATGCCTGAGCACCCTAAAATAATCTTCTCTTTAGGCTTCATCTTACTCCTACTACCAGTAGAGAAATATTGCTGGTAACTGTGGCAAGAGAATTTTTAAAACCAACTAACAAACTGAACTTTGTAGTGACTTCAAGGTGTGGCACAGCCCAACCAGGTGGTCCCTTGTGCTGCTGCCAAGCCCACCCAGCCTTGTGCTGTCCCCAGCAGGGACCACTGAGCCCCGTGGCACAGGAGGGAAGGGCTGAGCTGGGGAGGGTCACAACACTCATCCCCCCACGGGCTGAGACTATTCCCTTGCCAAAGTGACAGCTGTAAATAGGTATTTAGTGTCTAATTTCTATATCCTTCGGTATCTTAACTTATATTTAGCCCAAACCATCGCACATTTATCTGATTTGTTGCTATTAATTTCCTGGTTCCCTTTCTATTTTCTTCCTCCTCTCACAGATTCACTGGGTTATGAACTGCAGTAATAACATTTCCAAACCAATTTTTTCTATTTGAGAAGCTTCTGATATTTTTCTTTAAATCACTCCAATACTGCTGGGATACTCATTACCCTCCTCCTTCCCTCCCCAGCTCTAGAAGTGAATGCAAACAACAACGAGGGGGGGGGAAGAGAAAAAGCCCCAAACCCTCAGCAGTAAGTTGGCTGATGCTGGCAGCAAGACAAATCTGGCACCACACAGCAGGCAGGCAGGGAGTGCACTGCTCATCCTTTCGTTTTGCTGTGTGTGGGGATGCTGGACACCAACACCCAGCCAGGGATCCGGCCAAAGGCTCCTCTGCTCGGCGCCTGAACCCTGCTGCTCTGTGCCCGGGTGGGAGATACAGGTAAAACCAGAAATGCTCGAGATTACTGCCTTCTATTTCCACTGACTGCAGTTAGGAGAAGCCCAGGCTGCCTAATCTTATTCCTAGCACAAGCCACAGTGCAGGGGCTGTGCACGTAATGCCCTCAGGTACCGGGACTTGTTCGGGATTCTACAGCAAATAAATTGGTGCAAGTGGCAGTAAAGATTTTTTTTTGGGGGGGGTACACTTTGTTCAAGTTGCCTTTATAAATATTTATTACTGTTTATTTAATAATAGCTCTCTGACAGCAGGCTTTACAGCAACTTTGAGCCACAATAAACAGGCAGCCTGGGTGCCTCCTCCCCAGCCTGACTGTACCTATTCTATGTGTTATGTGTTTATCTATTACCACCATGCTTTGAGCTTATAATTTATTTCATAATGTAATTTATAGTTACATTACAAAAGCATCCCTCTGCAAACAGCAACCATGTAATATTGATAAAGCATTTAGGGACAGAACATAAATTCAACGGCTCAGATATTATGTAGTATCAATAATCTGCAGGGGGAAAAAGTGTCTGTGTAAGTATGCACAATTTATTATGGCAGGAACCTAAACAGAGAACATCTTTCTCTGTCAAACTTTCTTTACGAGAACTTGACATCCTCAAATTCTTTTCTCTCCCACAGATGTCAGAGGACAAGACAGACAAGGTAAAAATCAAAGCAGCTGAAAGTTTTGAACATGAAAAGCAAAATATTTCTTGGCTGAAAAAAGGTAAGTTACTTTGAGTTATTAGTTACTAGTTTGTGTTCAGACATTTCTCTTTTTCTTAAAAAAAAATAGGCAGAAAATAGCCTATAGGCTTGAATAGGGCCTGAAATTTCTACCATAAAAATTCCATAGCTTGACTTTTGCTCAATATGCACATACAATTTCTTTTGGTACAGAAAGGCCTAAATTATCAAATTTTAAAGTAACCTGAAAGCTCATTTTTCTAATGTCCTTGCATTCCTGGGAAAGTTTCATTTGACCTGAACAATAAGTATGGACGATCATCTTACTTTTGATGAAAAGTTTTTAGCAACTAAAACAGCTACTAAATTGGATTAATATTATTAATAATTATTTTCTCAAACACGAGTAAAGATCAAGCCTGAATCTTCAGATTTGGCAGTGTCTTATCTTAGAATAAAATAACATCAGTTGTCAGCGCTTTGGATGTACAGCAACTTTGACCCTCAAATGTAGACAAGTCATAAAAGCCAAGCAGGAGGACCTTTCAGGTTTAAAAGGATGAAAAAGAAATGGTGTTAAGTAGCTAATTTGCAACAAATACTAGTATTTCAAATACTACATTCTATTTTTTAAGCTGCTTTTTTCTTAACATTGAAAAAATTGCAAAGATTTCCTTATTGTTTCTACCCATAATGAAGGAATCTTCTTAGGATATATTTCTTGCTGAAAAAATTTGATTTGCTAAGTTAGAACGTAGCTTAGTACATCTTTATGCAAATTTGTTGGTCATAGCAGAAATCCCTTTATTGCATTTATTACAGACAAGTGGGATTTGAATTAAATAGAAGTTCCAAGAGTAAGCTTTCAAGATGCACAAGATAGAAATTAAATGTCCATGGCTGAGTAGAAATTGTGCTTTTTAATGAGAACAATTGTATTCTAATCCTAAAAAAAATCATTTTGGGGAGACTCAACAAGTGACCTCATATTTTGAAAACACCAGCTACGGGGATATTGGGCAACAGGCACCTTTATAGCCACTGTTTTATCATCTGAAAGATGTGCATCACTATTTTCAGCTCATGTCATTAGATGTACGTTAGATCTTTTAATTGCAAAGGAGTTTGGAGCAAAGTGGGCTCGAATTAATGTCCCTGCCTTGTAGCCTTCCATGTTTTTGCAGCATTTGCACAGAATGAAAAGCTCCCACTGGAGCAGGGCTCACTGACCAACCTGCAGACTTGGCTTGACTGGACACCCAAAGTCCTCTGCTTGCCAGGGGTCAGTTAACTACAACAACAACTCAGCAAGCAGAAACTTTGCAGTTTGAGTGTCCCAGGGAGAGATTGAGTTGAGTGAGCAAACAGCAAACATGTAACTGAACTGAGTATTTATTCCATCCCTATGGAGTAAAACACAAGAGATCTGCGACTCTACAAAGGGATATAAAAGTCCAAAGGATTTTGCCATGTCTCTGAACAGGGTAAGAGTGATGGCAGGGCCCTCAGAGTCCCATGTTGTGATTTATGCTCTGGTCCAGACCTCCTCCAGGAGCCAGGTGCATCCCTCACAGCTGCACGCTACCTGAGCTCGTTCCACTTAGCTAGGCTACTTCACAAGGTTTGATTCCTCCAGTTCCTATGGAGAGACCCTATGCAGATTTTCAGGATCATTAGCAACATTTTGATTGTTCTGTGCTTGGAGGAACTGCAATCTCACAGAAAGAGCCAAGTGTTGACTATTGGCACTTCTCCTTTCCAAAGTGCCACCGAGCAGAATTGGGCCTTGAACATCTCCTACAGCAGCTGAGTCAATAACTGAATGTGTCTCATGAGGAAAGCAAGTTTTCCTTGAAATAAGAATATGGAAATTATTTTATCTTAAATTGAAGTTTGTTTTTAAAAAAATTTGTTGTTGTTTCTTTGCTTTAAGCACTTCTGTGGTATGCACTGGGATTTTAGAATATGGTGAAACAAATTGTCTGGAGCAGAAGCTTAACTTCTATGTTTAAATGTTTTAAAAATACCTCATGTATAGATTTCAGGCATTCCAATAAACAAAGAATTGTGGAGAACAGACTTGTACTGTTTCCATCAGGCACAGTAAGAAGACTATATGTTCTTTTAGCATCCAGTGTTAAAGAAAAGTTATTTTTATTCATGGTTTTGTATTGATTATTTGTTCCTTCTAAAAGAAACAATCATGAACCACATAGTATCAGAAATAAACAACTAGGCTGTGGTTTTAGTGTCTTTCCTAGACTTCAGTTTTTCCTAATGCTTTGCAAAGTAAAAGCTCATGGGCTGGTTGTACAGTGGGTCAACAGCAAAATAAGGTATCTATACATTTTTGTTGTCTTTCAGCATTAGAAACTGTTTAATCAGGGCAGAGGGATTTTGATCTGGCTGCCAGTTATTTATCTTCTACTTTTTCTTGGAACAAGATAATTTATTTCTGTCATGAACCCCCTAAGAGCAGAAATCAAAGCCTTGTTCTGAGGGAGAACTTTCCCAAAGCAAAACAGAAACCAAACCAGCATCGTCAGAAGTATTAGAGAAAAACAGTAGGCTGGGCATCTAGGCTTCTATCTTATCAGCAAGATGAGTACAAACAGTTCAGCTCATGGCTCTGCCTCTAAATAAGTAATTTTTACCCAGTGATGTGCCCTCACACCCCTGTCAGGGGTGCACCAGGAAACTGATGGCAGTTAAAGATGGCACAGGGACAAAAATGTTGCACAAGTCAGCACAGTCTGGGAAATCATAATTATGGCCTTGGTCTGTATTTTTTTTTTAAGGACAATGACAAATTTATCCTTTCCTTTTCTTTTTTTTCTTGTACTACGAGCCTTTTACTGGTGAAGGGTCCTCTACAGTACCTGCAGAATGTAGAACCATAATTAAATAGTAATCAAAATTTTAACAGGGGAGAAGAGTGTTAAATGTGTTTTCTAGGTTAGCTTAGACTTTAAAAGTCCCACAACATCTCTATCTCTTGAGGCATTTAGCATTGAACTCTAGGTGTGGATAACATGAAAGACTCCCAGAGATGAAAGTGAGAACAAGGATGGTGAAATGTTTACAGTCCTATTCCAAGACGTCTAAGGGTAAGGAATACATACACCAGAAATGTTTTCTGATAGTATGGAATATTCTTCAGGACTATTTATTTCTAAAGAACACACAACCGCGGAGAAACCCTGCATTGGAGGGTATGCATCAGACCATCACATGCAAATCAAGCAGAATCTGTACGAGTGAGCACAGAGAAAAGGCAGCTCTGCTTGTCTGACCTCAACTCTGGTGTGAACCAACCCAAGGAAAGCCTGGGATACAGCAGCAAAACCAGACAATGACTCCTATTTTGTGTAGGAGAGGAGACATTATTGGAGTTTTTTCCCTTCCATGAGAAGAAAAGGGGACTTGCTGGAGATGGGAGTTGGTTTTGGATGGAGATACAGAGATCCCCATGTCAGTGCCTATAAAACATCAGGGCAGATTGAAACATGGGTTCATTAGCAAAGAAGTTCTTTGAAAGTTATCTATCTGCCATGAAAAACTGGAGCAGGAATCCTCAGTGCATGTGCTGTCCCCACTTATGCACATTTTGCCCTGACATGCACAAAATAACATAAATGACAGTGCCTAGAATATGACACGTATAAATAAAGAACAGCCAATAAAACTTGAAGATAATATTTGAGAAATGTCCTCTGCAAGGTCTTGCATCCCCACCTGCTTCATGCACTCACAAGATTCCATGGAGAGAGAGTGACAGAAAAAGTGGGGAGTTTTTTAAAACTTAAAAATAAAATAAAACAAAAAGGAGATATTTAAATCAGGTGTTAGGAAGAAATTCTTCCCTGTGAGGGTGGTGAGGGCCTGGCACAGGGTGCCCAGAGCAGCTATGGCAGCCCCTTCCCTGGAAGTGTCCAAGGCTGGGTTTTATGGAGCTTGGAGCAATCTGGGATAGTGAAATGCATCCCTGCTCATGGCAGGGGATGGAACTGGATCACCTTAGAGGTCCCTTCCAACCCAAACCATTCTATAATTCTGCGATTCGATGAGCAACAAGCAGATCTTCACACCCCAAACAACAAAAATCTCTGGGCCCCTAACCCAACATGGCCTTTAGAGGGTCCTGTAAAATCTGGAAGCTACACCAGACATGCCTTTAGAAAGGCAGCACTCAAGGACGAGCAGCACTGCCAGGAATGACTCTGGGATGGTCCCACCTTGCCCAACACAGCCACAGCCCTGCCTTTTCACACAGGCCAGTGGCTCCTTGCACCATGGCAGTGATTTAGGGCCAGATTAGCAGCCATCTGCTGGGAAAGGAGGGAGGTCAAAGCAGAGCTAAATTCACACCAGCCTCAGCATGTGGCTTTTGGAGCTCCTTGCAAACGAATCTCTTGGTATCACTCGGTGATTGCAGCCATATGGAAACGTGGGAGCAGGCGGGAGCTTATCTGGCGGACACAAAGCTATAAAAGGTGACACTGATTTTGCACAGGGACCACAGCGGTCTGTTCACTATTTCTGCATCCACTGCAAACATAAGGGGGGAAAAAAAAAAATGTTTGAGGGCCTCACACTGCCCTCCCATGGTTTCATCCCAAACTGGCCATGGCAGCCCAGGAACGCAGATCCAAGTCACACAGAAATGAAATTTCATTTCAGGATATTTTCACACAAAGCCCTCCTGTTTTATGCTGCCCAGCTGTGTACACAAATGCCCTCCATATATAACTTCCAGTGAAAAGTTAATGAAATGGCTTCCTTGCTCTCTTGCCAAAAATATAACTGAAAGTCTAATCTCAAGACTTTCTCCAAAATAGCCCCTTTTTGCACTAAAATTCTCATAAATCAGAAACATTTTTGTCTAAAATAAGCCTGTTTTCATTGTCTTGCAAATAGTAAAAAGTCTAGCCCCAATTTCTTTAATCCACTGCTCCAGCCAGCAGATTTTTTGCTGTAGGGTGAAATTCAGCCCAGTACTGAGGGTCAGTGCAAGGTCAGCACTTAAACCATAAAATAGGG